GCTTAGAATCTTAGCAGTAGGAGGATTCTTGTTGCATTACTTGGACAACCTCCTCTGGCTGGATGCCTGGGGGAACTGGCAGGTTGACACTTGGAATGATATGAGGGGTCTATTATACTTTCTATGCTCCTAGTACCTCCTGAACAACCCCATTATCCATCACATCCCTTCCTGGTTTGAACTTCCCACTGTGAATACAAATTTCAAAATAGTTTCCGTCCACATTTGTCCTTGGATGCATGCAACATTTAGCAAATATGGCTCCATTCGAATCACATTACAATCCTTCAGGTAGGTAGAGCAAGACGGATGATCTTCATTTTACAAATGAGGGAAAAGGGTCAACAATATGATGGGATTTGGCTGGTGTATTAGCTTTTCATCTGAATAACAAAACACCTGATATAACTATCTTATTGAGAGAAAAGGTTTATTTTGGTTCATAGTTTCAGCGGGTCGGTGATCAGTTGACCCTGTTGTTTTGGGCCTGCGGTGAGGCAGCACATGAGGTAGTGAGCATGTAGTGGAGCAAACAGAGTGCATGGTGAATCAAAACCACTCATTTTATTGCTGGAAAGTAAAAAAGGGCAAGCGACTAGTATCCCATAATCCCCTTCAAGGGCATACCCCAGTGACTTCTCATGAGGCCCTGTCTCTTAAGGGTTCTACCACCTACCTGTGGCTCTATGAGCTAGGGACCAAGCCTTTCCTACATGAGCTTTTGGAGGACATTCAGGATCCAGCTGGGGACACACAGCACATCTAGGATCTGAATTCAGGTCCTCAGTCCCCTGTCTTTGGTTTCATTTTCCCTGTGACTTTAGAACTCTTCAGAAGGCCATTGGCAACATATCTGAACTCCTACATGGCCCTAGATTGATCTTCCCAAGTTGTTTTCTAATGAAGACCCACCATTTTAAATTTCAGTCTCTCAGGGTCTCTCTTCTGTGTCTCTCAGTCCCCGTCCCCCCACTGCCCTCTCTCACATACATTTACCCAGAGAGAGGCTGAAATAAAAATTTCCAGAAGTCATTATGCACAATAACTCAGATCTACTCCAATCATATCTATTGAACTCTATTCTGTTCTCTTTCAAAAAGAAAGGGAATAAAAAAAGGAAAAGAAATCTGCTTATGACTCAGTAAGTTGATTTCAAGATACTGGGGAGGGATTGCTGCCCGCTGCATGGGGCATCCGCATTTTGATTCCTCTGAGTACCATTGGAAAGACAGGATAGCTGGCCCAATGTGGAGAAAGGAAATGGTAGAGGTAGCTGAGATGTTCTGTAAGTAATCTCTGCAGAAAGAAGAGGGTGGTTGGAACAGAGGGGCACAGAGGAGGACGACCAGATGTGGATAACACATTTCAAGGCTCTGGGCCAAAAGACCCATTTCACTCTATGTTTTTATGTCTTTCTTTTGCATTGAGGATTCACCACCAATGTGGGAACAAAAGACGGTGTTGGAAATCCTGGAGCCTGACTTTTACCTCCTCCATATTTTCTCATAAATCTTACCTGACTTTTCCTGTCTGTCTTTGGGGAGGATTTCCAGAGGGAAGGCAGCTTCTCCATCTCACTGCCTGGGCTAGGGGCATTGCATCTGCTGCAACCCACAGTCCAGGATCCACCCTTCAGGCTGTGCTGTGGTCCTCCCTGGGGGTGGAGGAGGCTTCAGCCAGGATCCAAGAGAGGGGCTGCCTCCCTGGGAAGATACCACCTGGATCTCAGCAGGGGAGGCCTGGAGCAGGGTTCTTGAACCTTTATAGCTCACGGATCACTTTGGAACATGATCATCTCTTGAAACACTCTTTTTTTTTCTCATTTAATACAAATGCATATACATAAGAAAAGTGCATACATTTTTTTTTTTTTTGGTTTTGACAGATGCTAAAGTGAATGGCTTCGGTGCAGCTTGGTGCTGACCCAGAGGATCCTAAAACTTGAAACCCAAAGAAGGTGGCACTAGACAATGAATGCACTTGGAAAAATCCTCCTCAAATCACTTTTATCTAAATTACCTAATGTATCTCACTCTCTGTTTGCTTTTGGCTTCACGGAATTGGTCCTCTTCACGGAATTGGTTTCCTTTCTCTTTCCCAGACACCTTGCAAGTTCCCCCTCTTATCTCATGCTGTTTATAATTAATGCTGTCTGACACTTGATTATGCGAAGGAAGGACTCAAACTGTGTAAAGTACCTGCTGCCAGTCACCCTGCAGGAAGGGCCACTGGCTGACTGTGAAGCTCCATTCATGGTCCAAGGGCTGGGTCTTTCTGCCTTCTAGACCCAAGGACTCTGAATTTTTACCAACCTTTGGCTACACCTACCATGTGTTCTAGATCTGTATCCAGATCTGTAAAATGAGGATGATAATACCTTCCCGTTAATTTACTGTGAGGAGTAAATAGAATCATTTATGTAAAGTATCTAGCACAATGTCCAGCCCTAAGTATTGAATAAACATTAACCATTATTGTCATCATCAGGATTGGGTTTGTTATCAACTTTATCTTGAAACTTTTTCATAAGTATATTATTTAGTCTACATTTAGTATCAGGACGTGTTCCTTGATTTAAATTCCTAGGGAATATGGCTATTGATGATTTTTTTTTCACTACCTACATATACAGTTCAAATGGTAGAGTTAGACTCAGAATCATCCAATATTACTAGAGCAGGCTGCCCCATGTTGGGCATTAGTGTAGGCTCACTTTGTGCTTAGAGCAGCCCCTTGAGAGAAGCATTATTAATGCCATTTCTGCTGTGCAACGTTTAGAAAGTGAATGACTTGACCAGGACTATTGACTGATTAACTGGTGAAGTTGAAATTTCTCTATACATCTTTATTTCAGGTCTAATTCCTTTTCTACTGAACCATGGAACTGCCTCGACTTCAACTTCTAGAAAAAGTACAATTTAATATATTTGGTGCTGGGGATTGAACCCAGGGAAGATTTACTACTTAGCTGAATCCCCAGAATTTTTTTTTTTTTTAAAGACACGGTCTCACCAATTTGCAGAGACTGACTCAAATTTGTGATCCTCTTGCCTCAGCCTCCTGAGTCATGGGGATTACAGGCATACGCCACTGAGGCCAGCAGTAGAAAAAGAACAATTTAATACATATAAACCTAACAGTTTAGACAAGTCTTAGTGGGCACTCACAGGAGATCTAGGCTGTTTTTGTACACACTGTTCACTTACAACCAGACTGTCTGTAGTAATAAAGAGAAAAGGTCCTTTGGTATACATGATGGTTATACAGACAATTATTATTATCATATATAAATTTACACTAAACATATTTATAACATCTGGTTCTAACTCTTGGCTTAGTACCCAGTAAAAATTCATATTTTAGGCAGCAATTATGTGTTTTTTAATAAGGTTACAAGGGAAATCCACCTGGCTATTGTCTGAGAGCAGGGTCACTTTGTAGTTTCTTTCAGTGTCTTCTGAGACCATAGGCCATTGTGGAGCACAGAGTATATTCTCATTACCAAGGGCATATGCAAAAATCATCAATTCTCAGTTTATACAAAGTAGTAGCTACAGGAAACAAGAGCACAGCATGGTCCAGGGGGCCAACTTCAGAAGAGATTAAGTCGCAGCTCAGAGGGCAAGGCTCGTGCTCCACCCACCCCTGGTCTTCTTCCCAGAAGACTGCTTCTCTTGTGGTCTGCTCTGGGGACAATCAACAGGGAGGAAACAACAACAAACCTAATAAATGTAATCAGTGCATTAAGTGAAAGAAGATTCTAGATCACTACTAGGGACTCGTCAATGAAGGCAACATATTTGAGATGCAAAGATGTCTATTGCTTTGATGGGGAGATAGAGGTCATGTCAGGTAATGAGTTATGGACTATCTACAGGCCAGAAGACCAGTGAAATTTTGACTAGTATTTAATGATGCAGAACAAGTCATAAATGGGCTATGAGAACATCAACACAAATGATTGGGGGTATTGGATAGTTTGCTTATTCAGCAGTAAATGAACTGTTTTCTATTCTGGTCTTTATCTCTCCCAAGACATGGCAAAGTGTGGTATGGAGAAAAACATAAATATCAATGTCCCCCAATGCACGGGCAGCCTATTCTGCTGTTCAGCATGATTCTCTCAGCAGGTGACCACTGTTTAATTAGAGAAAATAAGAGAAACAGAAATAGCTCCCCCACATCATTTTTTGCCTGTATTAGGTGGGAATAAAATTAGTTATTCCTACTAGAAAAAAAAAAGAAATTAACAATGGGTCAAACACAAAATGTGTGAGGGAAGGGGGTTAGTCCAGGCTGGGCATGATTGTTTCACAAAGTCCTCAAAGACTCGGCTTTCTGTTTTGCCGTTGCCAATACTTCATAATCCACACTGGATGCATAAACCCCAGCCATCGCATCTAGTCCAGTCAACAGAAAGGAGGAAGGGACAAGGCAGGAGGCTTTCTCTCCTTTGTATGTAGCATTGCCTGACTCCCGTTGCCCATGGTCATACCTAGGCAAGTGGAAGATGGAGTCTTTATTCTGGTCAGCAGGGGAGCAATTATGGAGAAATAGAGAGGAATTGATATCAGGAAACCAATCTTAGTTTTTGCCCCCGTTCCTGGGATTTGACTATCTCAGCTAGAAGTGGGGCTTGGAGGGTGGATGCCCAGTGAAGCCCCGAGAGGGTAGATTTTAGTGACTTGGACTCTGTTCCACAGAGTCAAAAAAATGTGCATGACAATAATAAGGGCAATAAGCTGGACACCTGCCCTTTAGAGCCTTCTTCTGGCCACGTAGTGTCCAAGGGGGTGATCAAGGCAGCACCTGTCATTGATATGTTCTGTCACGTGTTCAGCTCTGGGCGCTTACCACGGAAGGTTCCAGATGGGTCACTGTCCTCCTTGGCTCACTGCCTGCCCATCCTTCCCTACCACAATCCTTCCTCATGGTATTGCCCCTGAGAATTATAGGCATGTTTGTCCTTGATAAATAAAAGCACAAGAGACAACAGGGTGTGGAATGGAAAGAATAATCATGAGGTGCCTTGGCAGAAATCAGTGATTTCCTGAGGAACCGGTGGGCAGTGGCTAGGGTGTCAGAGAGGTACGAGAGTTCCATAGTCAGGAATTTGGAAAGAATTCATCTTGATCTGAAGTTTAAGTTCTCATCAAGCTCAAGATAAGTTCCTTGGAGGACGTGCAGTTTGGAAGTGACTAAATTCTAGGATGAGAAAAAAAAAAATGTGTAGAGGAATGCATGGTTCCCAGCCCTCTCCTGAGATCACATAGCCTGCCACCTCCAAGGGGAACTTCAAGCCTGGCAGGTCCAGACTTAGCCCATCATCTTCCAAATTAATTTTTCCTGCCTTTGTCTTAATGAAGGCATCTCCACCCATTCAACCAATCAGCCAGAGAACTGGGAGTTATCTTAGCATCATCTCTCCCTCTGTCATTCCCATCAAGGCCAACAGTCCTTTCATGTATACTTAAAAAACCCAACCCAGTCTCCACTTGTCCACGACAATAGTCTCATTTCAGACCTTCACTATTTCCCTAGGAATTATTTCATCTCCTTGGAGTACTGACCTCCTCCTCGGCCACTTGCCACTTCACCACCACAGCTACCTTACTGAATCACAAGCCACTGACCTGGCCACCTGTTCATGGCTCCCCATCCAGGAACAATCTAACTCTGCTGTTCTCTTTCCATGTTCTGTGACCGCTCCTCTCCCTGCTTGTCCCCAACTCATCCGCTGCTGTGGACAAATTGAATGCTTCCAGCTTTGTAGAAGGTTGCTGTCCTGGGTGACTCATCCAAGTCCTTGTTCAAACCATTTTACACTGGGAGACCCTCCCTGGGTCAGCAGAGCTAGGGGTGGGTTCCTGTATCATCTATCACCATACAGAGTCCCTCCTTGACCAAACCCTATCCAGGAGCCTCTGAGCCTTTCTCCATTTGGCCTCAGTCTTGGTCTGTGAAGACTTGAACAACAACAACAATTCATGTGGTTTCTACATGCTACAAGCTCAAGGTCATACTGCTAGGATGACCTCACCACCACCACTACCACCTTAAAGTGCCTGTGTGGGAAAACTCAAGATTTTCAAAAGAATCTCCTATTTACTCCAGCCAACATAAAGATAGGGCCCCTCTCTCCTGGCCTCGGTGGGAGGGTAGGAGCCCTACTTCTGTGGGTGACAGTCAGCAAATTCAGGTGGGTATCATGTGAACCAACCTCTGCTTCTGTCATTTTTATACTTCTCTTACTCTCCTGAGCCTCCGCTCACTCTTTCCTCTGCCTTTATTCTTTTTCTAAAACATCTAGTCATTACCAGACCCATCCAAGGTGAATTCAGTCTACGCTGGACACTTTTCTATTGTAATAGTATAATAGTGATTAAAATCTGTCCTTATCACTCTCCAGCCAGTGTCTGGCTCTGTTTATCTTTGCCATGCTTTGGGCCAACTGTCTTAGAGTTTTTGTCATTGTTTGCCTATGATGTCACTTCTCTGTGGATTCATCCATTCCACTAATTGTTAAATGAATTTCCTTCTTTGTGTTAGCTGCAAAAGGTGTGAAATAGATATCTTTTCTGTCTTAGTTCAGACTGCTACAACAAAGTATCATGGACTAGGTGGTTTGTAAATAGCAGAACCTTATTTCTCAAAGCTCTGAGGCTGGAACTCTTGACATCAGGCTTCCAGTATGACTTTGGTCTGGTGAGGGCCTGCATCTTGTTTGCAGGTTGCTGTCTTGTATCTTCACATGGTGAAAGAGGGCAAGAGAGCTCCCTGGGGTACCTTTTGTGATGGCATTAATTCCATTCATGAATGCTCCACACTCATGACTTAATTACCCCCAATGATCTCACCTCCTGTTACCATAACAACAGGGGGACATAATTTCATCATATGGATTCTTAGGGGCCAGGGACTTTCATAGCCCCCTCCCTGGGAAGCTGGTTCTGGTCAGAATTCCATGTCTCTCTTCTACCCTCCTAAAGGACTTGGGCTCACAGTTTATATTTAGTACATTAAATTTGCAGACATTCACCTGTCCTCCTTACCATACACTGATCTCTTTAAGGACAAACTGGAGCACCTCCCGACCCCATGTCTCAACCAAATAAATAAATGGACACATGGTGTTACGGTTGATCTACTCAAAATAACTTAGCAAGATACCTGGAGAGCAATTCTCTTTGCATTTTTATGACCTGTAATGCAGTCATTTGGGAACATTCTTAAAGGCACAACCCATTCTTTAGTTGCTGGGAGGTCTAAGGGGTGAGGGTTCCTACAGAAGAGCTATATTTAGCACGTCTGTCCCTGGGTTGTTGAAGGGTCCTGTTTCCCTGTGGTAATGAAAGTGCTCAGAGCAGTCGCTGTCTTATGTTGAGAGCAGCCATGTAATGATTAAAATGAATAACCTTCATGCTCCTGGACACTGTGCTAAACCAGTTCTGTCAAGATCCAGCCAGTGAGTTCTGGTGGTTATATTTAGAGTTAAGCTGGAGGGATAGGGAAGGAGGAGAGGGAAATTTCTCTGAATTAATTGTTGAAGATAACTTCTTAAACGGGGGCCATATTTTGCTTAGAAGGACTCATGTTAAAGGGTTCCTTTCTCACCTAGTCATTGGGAGATTCAAATAGCGACAGCAAGAGGAGGCCTAGCTGTGTGGAGAATGTGAGGCTGGGTGGACGTGCTGTCCTCCTAATGGGCTGGCCAGGCAAGCTGATTCTGAGTTGGGACAGTGGTTTTTTTTTCTTTTTTTGGTAGTGATCTAATATGATTACTTAAATGCTTAAATGGTTCTATAAAGCACAAAAGAGGGTTCAGTGTGCAGTCATGGGGAGCAGAAAGTGGGGGGTCCTATGGGGAGAAGGGGACCTGTGAATTGTATTTTGAAGCATTTTAAGCAACTTTTCCTGACCTCTGGTGGAGGAGGCAGTTCTGAACAGAAGGATTGGGGTAAATATTCTAGGCTAGAGTAGGAATATTCTAGGAGGTGATATTGTAGGACTGACTCAGGCAATCAGTCATGGTGATTCAGAGCTTGGGTTTTACATTAAAGGAAGGGAGCAGGAGGATGTTTAATGGCTCAATGCAAATTTTATAATTTCAATTTTAAAATTAAATTGTGGAAAGAACAGTGAAAATCCTTGTTTCTCTCTGTTGTTTTGTGGTGTCCTGCTCCCTCCCTGGTAGCTCAGGGACAGGAGGCAGGCACAGCTCTGGTATTTATCAGTTCCTCCTGGGCAAGGCCCCTCCGGAAGGGGGCCCGACCTGCATAAAGAAGTCATTGGTTTCTGATATTCAAGGTTCCTTCAAGTTCCAAAATTCTGTGAGTCACCCATTTACCGCTGGTCAGCCCGATAATGTGGCACAAGTTAGGTATTTGGTGCTTACACAACTTAGCTATTTTGAAAACAGTTTTCATAAGCAGAGAGAACACAAACCACTTTTTTTAGTTGCTTTTTAAAACATGAATACTGGCAAATTCTCGCAGATGAATTTTGGTGATAGAATCAACCATGTGTGCAAGTACACATTGACTCTGTTAAAAGGACGATGAACACAATTGTCATGCCTTCCAAAGTCGAATGACAGGAGACTAGTGTAGGGAGTGGAGACCTGGAGAGGCCTGTGATGGATGCTCCTCACTTGGGGCTCCAGTGACTTTCAGGAGAAAATTGCCCTAGAAATGTCAACAAAATATTTCTAAGAGCAATTTTTTTAAAAAATGAAAAGAATCATTTTTTTATTAATACAGACGCTCCCCAATCTATGATGGAGTCATGTTCCAATGAACCCATTGTAATATGAAACTATCATGAGTCAAAAATGCATTTATTACACCTAACCTACCAAACATCCTAGCTTAGCAACACAACACACTGTACACACAGCAATAGTTGTTTCTCCTTGTGGTGGGTGGATGGGGACTGTCTGGGGGCTGAAGCTTGGTCTCCTTCCTGCTGCCCAGCCTCAGAGGAGTTGAACTATGTATGTATCAATAGCCTGTGAAAAGATTTGAATTCAAAATTCAAAATAAGGTTTCTACTGTATGCATGTCAGTTTCACAAGTCTTGGTAAAGCCAAAAAAAAAAAAAAATCCTAAATTAGTCCATTGTTAAGTTGGAGACTATACACATTCAATTCAATGGGAACTCTGACGTAGTGTCAATGTCTATAGCCCCTCCTCCAGGATTGTGATTCTATTGATTTAGGAGAAAGCTCAGACATCTCAGTGTTGAGAACCACTGCAGCACATCTTCAGGGCACCACCTTCCTCATCCCAGGTTACAGAGGGTCAGTTGTGAATGAGTCCCAACAATGTTCCCACTGTTTTGATTCTGAATCCTTCTATGTCTTAGGACTTCAATTTGAAAGAATTTCTCAAAGAGAATCCCCTTTGTCCCTACCTTGCTATGGTCATGCCGTTTGTCCCCAGGAAGGAATGCTCAGGAACTTTTGTTCTGCTGAGCCATTTACAACCTTCCTTGAGGAGTGGTAGATATGAGGAGGGGCCATCTAAGAAAAGCTTGGAATATCTTCTTGCACTGTCCCAAGAAGCAAAAGGCAAGACAGAGCTCATTTTATTTATTTATTTATTTTTTTTTGTGATGGTACTGGGGATTGAAGTCAGGCCAAGGGTCCTTTAGCACCAAGCAACATTCCCAACCCTTTTAATTTTTTTATTTTGAGGCAGGGTATCATTAACTATTGTTAATGAAGCTGGCCTGGAACTTGCGATTCTCCTGCCTCAGTCTCCTGAGTAACTTGGATTATTGGTGTGCAGTACCATGGCCAACTTGGAATGCATTTTGTTCCATGAACTTGTTTTCTTTCTTGGTATTCCTTGAAGGATGACCCTGGGGAATGTGGGGTAGAGAGAGCTCATAGTCTCCAATGACAGGTCTCAGTTTTGGACTTTATTTTGTATGAAGTGGACACATGGCTAATGTTTTTGAAGTTAGTCCAGGGAACTTTAGTGGTGGTGGGGAGACGGTTGGAGGTGGTGGAGGTGACCCAAGTGAATGGTGAGGGGAAAAGAGGAGATGATGCATACAGAAGGAACTAGGAGGTAAGAGGTTTTGTGCTTTGTGGTCGGTCTGCTGCTGCAAAGAGCAGGCAGAGATTTATACTGGCTTGGGCCATTGGGTCAGTGGGGATGCTTTGAATCAAGAGAAGAAATTTCCAAATGCAAAATGATTTTGTAGAAAGAATATCCAGCCACATTTGTATAGAAATATTACATTTAATTGGAAGATATTTTATCACCATAGGTTGAGACAACATAGGCAGCATGAGGAGGCCTTCAATCTTTGCTCTGCTCACGTGGTGTGGGAGGGCTCTCCTGTCTGTCTCAGAGGAAGGATCTGTCCTGAAGGCTCATACTCTGAGCCTGGGCAACAAGACCAACATTCAGGTCCACCCCACACCTTCGTCAGACCCCAGCCTCTAACTGCATACAATCTGTGATTTCTCCAGCTGCTCCCATATCTCAGTTTAGAAAGGGGCCTGAATTAATGACCTTGCTAGGACAGATCATCTTCATTTTGCCAACTTGTAGGGTGTTTTGAGCACATGGTTTGTTCTCAGAATCAGAAGAAGCTAAAAGAAGAGTTAGAAACAATTTCTATGATGGATAAGCTCATAGTCTAATTGTAAAGACAGGCACATAAGGAATGACTCAGTTATCATATAGTAGTACATGAGACAACTTTATCTTGGAAGGCCAGAATTGCAGTGACTGGCTTCACTTAGGGGCACTCAGACTGTTCAGGAGTAGTGGCAGCCAAACGCAGGTAAGTGGATATCTTCTTCTTCTTTTTTTTTTAATGGCACATTATGATCATACACAATAGTGTGATTCATTGGCATCTATTTGTACATGCACATGGCATATTTTGGACTATTTCATTCCCATTTACCTTTCTTATTTCTCCTCTCCTACCTCCCCTGATCCCCCTTCACTACAAGACTGGTCTATTTTCATGAGGTCCTGTTTCTTTCCTTTTTTCTCTTTAGCCTCTACATATGAGAGAAAATATCCAACACTTCACTCTCTGAGTCTGGCTTATCTCAATTAGTGTGATGTTCTCTAGTTCCATCCATTTTCCTGCAAATGACATAATTTTGTTCTTCTTTATGGCTGAGTAAAACTCCACTGTGTGTATTTACCAGATGGACACTTAGGTTGGTTCCATAATTTGGCTATTGTGAACCGTGCTGCTATAAAAATGGATATACACACATCACTTCAGCACGCCGACTTTAGAATTAGATGTATTCCGAATGAGGATGAAGGAGGGCACCTGGCAGACAACTACCTGCAAAACTTGGTGCTAACTTTGAGTCGTTGCATACAGGGAGTAGTGTAGAGTTCTGTGGCTAGAGCCCAAGGTGTTTCCAGGAAGGTGGTGGGGGATGTGGGTGAGATAGGTGAAGTAGGTTGGGCTGATAGGGAGGAACCGGCAGGTCTTGCTAAAGAGCTGGGGCTTTTTCCAGTGCTCATGGGGAATATTGTTGGCTTTAAACCCAGAAACAGTAGGGGGCTATTTGTAGGTTTGAGGTTAGACAATTTACTCCATCGTCTGGTGTCTGTTAAAGATCATAAGCTGAGAGCCTCTGCTTTGGCTGCATGCTCTGTCTGCTTGATTTACCATCTGTAAAATGGGGGAAGAGCAACTATATTATGCCTATAACCTACTTGAAGAACTGTAAGTGCTATCTAAAAATGATCATTGTTCTTAGTAAAGGAATTACAACAGCAAATTGCCTAATTGCAAGCATGGCTGGATCCTTGCCCCT